GAACTACAATTTCTTTGGGAGTTCCAGCAAAGGAGACAGAGATGAAGGATTAATGGATTCCATATCATTTTCTATACAACCAAATTTTAATTTTGAATGACTTTTTCAACTAGCTAAAAAATTGATGATGACGTCATGAAAAGAACGTTAAAAATAAGTATAATAGTATTCAATACATCTTTCAAAAGCACTGAATGTGTGCTATTCGATATGGAACATATTTGACAATGATAGTTGCGAGAAAACAATTTAAAAGGTTCAAAGTGAATTTCTCCAAGTTGATGACGTCATCAAAAAATTTGACTTCCCCTCAAGATATTTTTCATTCATCTCAGATTGAAATATGATAGTTAATTTAGTGTAAAAATGGAAGAAAAATTGAGGTCGAGTCCTGGCTGATTTTTAAAGTCTTTTATCATTTTTTTGATGACGTCATCAAAAACAGTATCTTCCGGTGATAATTTTTTGCCATCTTGGATTTGGAAATCTCCATGGTCGATTTAGTAAGAATATAAATAAAATTTGAGGTTAGGCAGTTTGCTAGTTTTTTCTACAAAATTCCCTGGTCTAAATTGATGATGAAAGAGGTAGACCGATTACACTTTGACAAGTCGTACGTTCATTCGATGGATTTTATTTTGTTTCTTCTGTGGGAAATACGTTTGAAAATAACTTTTATTCAAAAGAATCCTATGGAAATTTCGGCTAATCTTTACGGATTGAAATTAAAATAAAGCAATTTTGATTTAGGTCCTATATTGTTTTATTGATTATTTAGTACTGGCTAATATTTTATCAGCTATGTTATGTTCAAATGTTGCAAAAAGGGCAGAGAAGCTTAAAGAGGTCTCTGGGGATAAAAGGGAAATGCAGATCATCTGCAAGCGAATGAGCAGAAATTTTGGCAATTACGCCTCTTAGATAAGCTGAAAGTTCCTTTTCAGAATTGTTTCAGTAATTTGGACACGTTAAACAGTTGTAAATTTTACGACAAAAGCCAAAATTTACGACGACATCGCTTATTGGCGAGTGGGGGTCCGAGCCCCCAAAACCCCATAATTTCCGCCACTGTTGCCGTCTCTTATAACGTCAATGCAATCATGTTGGAAGCGCTTGGGGTCATATGGAAATCGTTACGAGTAGGCCTATCTACCTGTTTGAAACCAGAAACCAAGGCAAGTAATTTTTCTGAAATAGAATACGGATTGATGCTTCATTCAACTGTTTCACAGAGTGGATCACATGCAACCAAAAATAAAGAGGTTGATTTTAGATCAGCCTTTGTTTAATAAGCCAGTATCGGTGATTGAAAGATCTCATTTTTTGAAACATGAGTATGGCATTTTTGTAATAAAACAGTGTCACCCATTTCAGGTTGCTCCGTATTGGAACGCTGTGGTTATGAAAGACAAAGACCAGTAGTGGGCTACCTTGGCAGTGACATTGTTAAAGATTCGGCTTTTGTTAACTGTTTGTTCAAACTGACCTCGTTGACCGCCAGATATTAGGTTGGATAACTTCCTTTATATATGTAACAAAGTCACAAAGATATTGGACACAATGTTTTGCGGCCTAATATGAATAATTATATCAGGAAAAGTTACACTTCTTTATAAGAATTTTCAGGCTCAGAAATCATACAAATATTCGTGCCTCATTATTCGTGCCTCAACAAAATAATTTGATATATAACTTATGCGCTGCTTGCTGATATTTAGTTACATATGTTTATATATTTAGTTTCAGTCTTTTGTTTCTGGTTATAATCGATCCAGGTCATTTTGCTCATTGGTGCTTTTCATATCTGTCCTTTTTGTCGTTGCTGCTTTTGCTTGTCAGCGATTGTTTGTTTAATAACAATCGTTTAGTTGTCTCAATAGTTAAATACTAACTTGTCTGGGGTTGGCGAAACGAGCTTTGCTAAGCTTGATATACTTTAACATTTAATTGTGAAATTATGATGGTATCAAATCATATGTATATTGAGCCTATTCTTACTTCCAAAATATATTTTGAAAATTGAAGAGTTGCGAGGGGGGCTGAGCATTCCTAGAATTTACCCGGGTGTAGGGTTCGTGTAGAAGAACACTTATTAAATTGCTTGCTGCAATATTGAGCGATCATCTATCATGGGACTACCATATAGCCAATGTAACATCCGTATGCAATAGTGTTTGGTTTATTTCTAGTGAAAGTGAGCCCCCTGAGGTTATATGGTGATTCAGTTATGTAAAAATATCTTCCATGAAACTTGGGTTTTCGTGATGAATAGTTTTGTAAATTTTTTGTTGCAAGTTGCTTTAAATCCCTTATATGGATTGTAACCGTGTTGTCTTTGAGCAGTAGTTGTTTAAAACTAGATGAAGAATCGTTGTAGGCTATTCGCAATGGTCTTTCATGAATGTTGTAAATAAGTGTATTGTTTTTCCTTCTACAATACATCCATACCAAGGAACAGTAATTGAAGAATGTCAAAACAAATGTCATTAAATTTTGATTTTTTGTCTATCGTTACGCCCAACAATTTCACTTTGTCTCCCACTTTAACTATTTGCCTGTTTACATAAATAAATGCTACATTTTTCAACATTGTTTGGTTTTGCTGAAATCAACATAAGTTTGCATTTGTCTCCATTGAGCTGCAGAGCATTGTGCTCACGATTTTCTTACTATCTAAGCATTGTTCTAGATCTTCAATGTATCTTATAATGTATCAATGTATCTTTCAATCAATCTTTTGTTTCTAGCTGTAATCAATCTAGGTCATTTTGCTCATTGATGCTTTTCATATCTGTCGTTTTTTGTCGTTGTTGTTGTTGCTTGTCAGCGATTGTTTGTTCAGTAACATTTGTCTTAATAGTTTAATACTAACTTGTCTGGGGTTGGATTGGCGAAACGAGCTTTATAAAGCTTGATATAGTTAATCATTTAATTGTGAAATGGTGATGTTATCAAGTCATACAATATTGAATCTATTCCTTCTTCCAAAAGATTTTTTGATATTGAATATTTGTGAGGGGGGCTGAGCCCTTCTAGAATTTACCTGGGTGTGTAGGGCTCGTGTAGAAGAACACTTTGTAAATTTCTTGATGCAATATTGAGCGATTATCTATCATGGGACTACCATATAGCCAATGTAACACCTTCGTGGATCTATACCATGTCCATACTAGCAGAAATCAGATAATACTTGTTCCATTCTAATTATAGAGACAGGCTGCTGAGCTTCTCGTTATGTCCAGTGTTGACTATGCTGACGTTCCTTTTTGACCTCTTCGGTCAAAGTCCTAAAATGATTGCAAAAGGTTACAAAATACGGCTGCAGGAATTCTAATAGGCCGCTACGCCAAAGAGAGAGAGGTTCTACAATTGACTGGTTGCTTGTGAAGGAATGTAGAAACTGGCATATGATGAAGCTTTCATTTGAGTACATCTATGACTTATTAGTGTCAAGCAAAGTCAAATAATGTCGAGAAGCATCAAGCATATTTAGATCAACATAGGTTTGGCTCATTTGCTGTGAATTCCAACTCACTTAGTTATCAGTACATAGGTTGTGGCAAAATATTGGAAATCGATTAATGGCGTCAAAAAATAAGGAAACGTCAGCAAACTAAAATATATGATACATCAATTGAAAGCTCTTGAAATTCAACCATGAAAATGGATAAGCTTCAAATTGTTTCAAAGGTTTTTTGCTAAACGATTGCATTTGGTCTTTTAAGATATTTTGTGCATAATTTATGCGTATACCTTTGTTGGCCTAATCATTGTGACTTTCTTTAAAGTGCTACTGACATGAAAAATCAAAATTTTGCAAAAGGCTTTTTATTAGACAGTAAAAATCACTGATTCTTTATCTGCAAATAGTTTTTTAAAATAAGGGCCATAAGTTTGTTTTTGGGAGGCTTGAGTCACAGGAGGTTTTTCGAAAAGAGTCTGGGGAGAGTGACGCATTCTGGTGTATCATTATATGGTTTACGGTCACGAAACCCCAACAGAGCCTAGAAATGTCCAGCAACCAAAGGTCGGAAAAGAAATTCCAGATTCAAGGGTTTCATCTAACGATGATGAAGTGGTATCGGAAGCGAGAGAACAAGTTTTGAAGACGGGAACGTTGAAATGATATTACAACCCGATGAGAATGATCCATTACCACTTTCCTTTGATGATGGGTGAACATATGGTGGTGAAGCCAACCTTTCGCTAATCATTCGGATTTTAATTCGATAAAGAAAACAAAAAGTTTTTCAAGGGAGAAACATGGATCGATTTTCTGTTGACTTATTTATACTTTTCTTAACATGGCCTAAATAACACAACCTGATGTACACTGATCTTCAACACTAGAGCCAAAGCAAGACAAGTAAATCAACTAAAAACAACACAAAAACCACCTTTTTTGAGTGTATATTAACTTAAAGCGTAAAACTGCAATAATCGAATTCCCTTTTTTTTGTACAACAACAAGCTTCGAAGAAACCCCTGTCTGTAGACACTAGCAAATAGAAAACCCCTAAACTCCCCCTAAATACATTTTTAAAATGTTCCGAACCGATTGAAACTTTGTAGAGTTGCTAAAATTAACGTGCATAAAATATATTTAGTTTCTCCTTGTTTTTTTCTGGTTTTATGAGAATATCTGAAACGTCCCCCGTTCGAGCTCAATAAAACAGCGATCTCGTATGTCTGTTTTGTTTCCCCATATTTACTTCCGTAAAACGATTTTAAATCGATTGAAACTTCGTAGAATAACTAGAACTTTTTCGAAACCGTATCGTTAATGAGCTCAAGGAATCTAAAAAACTACTATTATCATTATTTTGATGAAAACAAGAGTAATATGAAAATGCTTTGGAAAGGTATAAAGAATTTGTCAGCTTAAAATCAAACAATCTAGACACAATTTCATATCTAACAGATAAAAACGGCTCCCAAATTAATGATTCAGTTAAAATAGCTAATCAATTTAATCATTACTTTACGAGTGTTGCTAATGACATCACACAGAAGATCCCAAGACGCCCAAGGTCTCCCTTGTCTTACCTACCCAATCCCAATCAGGATTCCTTCTTCATTTTCCCGACTACCTCTGATGAAGTATCAGAGGTCATAAAATCTCTAAAAAATGGTAATTCTAGTGCTCCGAATAATATCCCAATCAAATTGCTGAAAACTCTAGATCCCCACATTTCCATTGACCTATCAATTTTGATCAATTAATCTTTTAAAACTGGTATTTTTCCTAATAAGCTTAACATTGCGAAAGTGATCCCAGTATTTAAGAAAGGTCTCTCTACCAAAAAATCAAATTATAGACCAATTTCCCTTCTGTCAATTTTCAGCAAAATATTTGAAAAAATTCTAGATATTCAATATAGAGTGTGTCAGGTTCCATAACCTTATTGAAAGCCACAATGGAGCCGGGATGGCAGATGACAAATAAAAGTGTATAGCTGATTGAAAATAATTCTTTCCAATAATTAAGAAGTAGCAGGCAAGATACGGACTGGTCTATAGTATTTCTTGCTGGTCGGTGAATCTTTTTTAAAAATCTTAGAAAGCACTAACAAAAAGAATGGTTGAGAACAGAGGTGGCACAGAGGAAAAAAGTAAAAATATAGCAAACTAAACAACTAAAGTGACAAGTAGAGTTGGAAGAAAGAAATCAAAATGGTGAAAAGATCTTTAACATAATAGAACAGGAACTAAATCTGTACGAAAAAAAAATTTCTTGACGAATTTCTAGCAACAACCAAAATATGGTTTAAGAAATTAAAGTCAAAGGTTTGAGCCTATAGTAAAGAGATAAACGGGATAGAAAAATGCTTTTTATTAACGATGAGCCGAATTTTTAAGGATAAAATAGAAATAGGCAGTTGAATAAAACGAAGATGTTTTTTCTGTGTCCCTTCAGGACTTTATGGATCCTGACCCCTTGTAGTCTGTAGATGGGGAATGGTTATAGAATAGTTTTAAGCGTACACACGTGCTAGAGAACTCATTTCACGCATTGACTGATTGGTACTGTCATGTAAAGAAATGACGAAGGTGTCGAAAACAGACTGATATCTTCATATTTGGTTCGTTGAGGGAAAGTTATTCTTGTTGACTGCTTTGGCGTAAAACAACATTTAGCATTGTTCAAGGTTAGTACTGTTTTCGATCTTTGTAAAAGAGCAGCAACAAAATGCCATTCAAGTAACTTCTTTCCATTTGCCTCTTGAAATCTTTAATTATTAAGTTTATGTTTATTAAAATGATTATCCGATTTTTATAAAAAATGACAGAAATTTATCGATCTAAGAGGTTTAGAAGATATGAAGAATATCGATCTAAGAATTTTATATTGACAAGATTACAGTTTGAGCTCATAAAACGCTTGAAAGGTGCTTCGTATTTTCATAATTCCGAGCAGCATCGTGTATCTCTTCGTATGGTGATTGCAAGCCTGCGTAAGCTGAATCTGTTCTTGCAGTTTGTCCCTGAAGATCCATGTAATGTGTCTCCTTTGGCTGTATATTCCTATGGATTCAACAAAGTACACTCATTTATCTTTGCTAAATGTATGAAACTACTAAAGGAAAGCCATTTAAAATTGGCAAAGGACATAGAAGAGCAGCTAAGGACAGAATTTACTTTTGAACAACAATTGGTAGTAGATAAATTTTAGAACGACTTCAAACTGGCAAAACTTAAACTATACGAAAGCATCAACTCAATATACCTTTTATTTCCATTGTCTTGAGCTACAAAAAAGTAGATGAAACTTTTAAGTCTTTGAGAGATATAATTCTTAATTATGAAGGACATCTAACAGCTTGAAAGAAAAATATTTTTGTGATGAAAACCGTAACTACCTAGTGTTAGTTTTGCCATTATTCTGATGAGACAGATCACCATTGTTGCCATGGCAATGAATGAGACTGCAACCACTACTGAAAGCGCTATGATTATGTTGTCTTTCTCTTCATCGCTATTCACTGCAATGACAACACAAAATGTGTAGGTTGTATGCGGGCGCTTGCCTTGTTGGGGACGGAATTCTGACTGCTAGGAAAAGCTTTTAATAAAGCCCTGAAGCTGGACAGAGGGCAGGAGCTAGTATCTATAAATAGGGGACATAGCCCCTTAGCTGTACCGTGAGATGTTATTTTAGACAAAGTTGAAAAAACCCGCTTCATTCCTTGAAGTTCCAGCTCAGAAACGAGGAGTCACTAAGCCTTGAGAGTAAAATCCCCCCCCCCCCACCGTATCGCTAGCACATTACAAAAAGGGGCAATAGGAAGATTTTTATATGGAAGTAACGAAATCAACAGCTGGCCTCAAATTTAAAATGCTGTACTCGCAAGGAAATGGAAGGATTAGCGCGCTAATAAATGTTTCAGTATTGAAATTCAATTACAATCATCACCAGTGCCAGGTACAGTCATTTTGTACCACTGAAATTCAAGGACCAACCTTAGAAACACCTTAGAGATTCAATAGAAGGATGGAGGGCCACATTTGTGTACCAAATCTATAGTAAGTAGTAACCCTCTATTTCACGGTTTCTAGAAATCTAAAAATCAATCAAATAGAACTTGCCTTGTTTTTCTTTACATGCTGCTGGCCGAACACTTGTCTTCTCCTTACCTGTTGATTTGTGCGTTGTGGCTATTCTCGTTGTTGGTTCACTTGAACTTGGTACTAGTGTTGTTGGAAAAAACGTTTGTAACTTAAGGTGTCCACAAATAGGTTCTGTAAGTATTTTGTTTTTAAACGGCTGCAAATCGTCCAAAAACTATAATAACGACCAGATCAGGTAAATGATCCAAGAAAGGAAAATAAAAACGCGATTATGAATGAGATATATACCAACCCGGTGTTTTTGAGGTTTTTGATGTAGTGGTCGGCGGTAGTGTTGTTAGGATAGGTGTTTCTGCTACTTTGGCAGTGAAGAACTTTGAAGTACTTTTGAAACTCATCGTCATTTCAACATCAGTGATATTCACATTTCGTGGAATCTTGCATTTCTTTATTTCATCGATGTTATATCCAGTTTCAGTATACACAACAATCCCTGAAGCATTTTTCAATTTCACTTCGTATTTCACGTAACAAGCCCCAGATTCGGCCTTCGTCCATTTCACTTCGACACAACTGTCTACGATTTTCTTTCTTGCTTGCAAATTCGGATTGCTATCAAGTTTCACTAGAAATAGAACGATCATGAATTCACTTCGTTTTGAACAAAAACCTTGCAAAAATGAGAACATTAAACTAAGTTTTTGCAAGAATATAAATGCTTGCCAAATGAAATCTACTTACAGAATTCAAATGTAAATAAAATAATTGAATGTATATAGTAAAACTAATTACATAAGGCACTTACTTAAAACAGTGACGTAGGTGTCTTTGGCAAGTGATGACCCAACACTGTTCTTCACTGAAGATTTCAATATCCTTCCACAAAAAGTAGCAGCTATATTTGGATGTGTAAACTTTGCTGAATAAACATACGGGTATATTTGGCTAGCAGCAACAGTTGTCCCACCATCACCAAGATGAGGCCAAAGAAAATCAGCTGATGGCGCAGGGCTTCCATCCATTTCAATGGCTATTTCTAAATTTGAATTTTCATTTACTTCAACTGTAGCTGGAGGTAATGAGAGAACTTCTGGTACTCCTATTAAAGAAATAGAGGTAATATTTCTAGGCTTTAAATTTGTAATGCCACTAATGAATGCTGTAAAGTGAAAGCATGTGTTTTTTCCAATGATTGGTTCTATTATCTTCAAAATACTGCAGACGGGCTTGTAGTTGCATCTCCCTTACTAATAGCTTGTGACCATAAATATCATAATATCAGGTCTCATTGGTTCAGATTTTTAGCAGAGCGGTTACACTGTCAATGGCTGCTTAAATAGACAAGTTGTCTTGTACTAGGCTATTGCTGGAAAAATGAAAATCTTGAAAATCTTGATTCTCTATCAAACAGTCAACGGTCAATGGTTATAAAACGGTCAAAGGCTATAAAATGTTCAACAGCTATAATCGGGAGGAAGGCTAGGTTTTCAGTTTCAACAGATGGTTTCCGAGCTTGTAGAAGAATAAATACTTTTCTGTTCGTAACTGTGCCTTGCTTAAAAAATAATAAAGTAATGATATCAATTTAAGCTCCAAATAAGCTCCGGGGGGGGGGGGGTGTGGTAAAAAAAATCGAAAAATTAATATGCATCCCCCCTTCTATTAAGGATCTTACAGTAACACACTGGCGCTCCAGTGCGACGTCGTTAACAGAAAACACACTGTCATTGTCGTTTGTAGCTAAATTGGTTAGTAAGACGAGAAGCAATAAACTATCATTTAAATTTCTTGGCTCCTCCATTTAAAGATCTTTGTTAAAATAAATAATCTTACCATTGACTGTAATCCGGACAACTGGTTTGAGGTCACCTCTACTTAAGCTTCGTGCACCACCTATAGTAACATCTAAAACAATATATGATGCAAATTGGTAAGCAGTGTCATTGTACTTCAATCCACTGATCAGCAATGTATCATTGGATGGTATTACTGTGAGTCTTCCAGTGAATGGTGCTGGAACAGTAGGCACAAGCTGAAGCACACCATTTGCTCCTGTCCTCTTTGCTACAGGTTGCAGTGCTGCCTGTGAAGAACTGTTAAATCCAATTATTTGTTCTTTGTATGTTATAAATCCGAGGGCATCACCTCCATACTGATATCCCCACGTTAACCACAGTGAAGAGCCTTTCAGCGATGTCACGTGACTTGGCGATGACTTTGTTTCATTTGCAATAATTTGTCCTTTATTAAGTGCAGTTACTGTAACTTAAATATGAAAATACTAAACGGAAGAAGCTTTCCTGTAAGTCGTTAATTTCATCTTTTATTACATATTCAGCCTATGCAATGTTGCGTAACACGTTTTTTTTATAATAAACCAGTTTTTAAGAAACCTAGTACTAGAGTCCCAAAAATTTAAGAACTAAATCAATATTTTTAAGAAACTCCGAATAAAATAAGATGACTTTCTGTGCCGGAAATAATACATCAACAATCCATTTTTGCTTGATTTAAATTTGCTTACACATTTTTATTTAGAGTAACACAGGATGTTGTCTACTTGTAGTAGTAGGATGAGGTTCCGATAACTTTGCCATGAAATAGTTTTACAAAATTGTTTTCAGTATCAGTCTTTTAGTCAATGTTCAGCAAGCATTGACTAATTAGTCAATGTTCCTTGTGTCTCTCGTGAAGTTTTACTTCATGGCAAATAGAAAAAAGCAAGCAACGTTGTTCAATTTCGGGTGTTCAAGACGAGCAATTCACCGAGGCGAGTCCTATGATTTAGCTGCCCCGTTACAAGGTCCTTCGTTCGTTGAAGATGAGAATGTCAGTTTGTATCGAAGTCAACCATATGGCAAGCATTTTAAGTCTAAAGCTGGATTGAAAATGCATGAAACTTGGTGTACGGTGGGGGAAAAAGTGGCAAGCTCTGAGCCAAAAACAAGGATTCCAGCAGAAGATGGTAAAGATGTAATAGAGGTGGACAGTATTGAGGAGTCTCAAAAACAGTTCGGGATTTGGTGTATTAATGCATATCAGCGACAGAGAAGGAAATCGAGAAGAATAATCAAGAAAACGACGAAAAGGAAAAGAAGGATGGTCGTAAAGGAGCAGAAAAAAGGCGCTCATATACCATCCAGTTTAAGTCAATGGTAGCTAATGAGGCCAAGCACACTCCAATAAGTGACTTTGCGTTAAAATACGGCATCAATAAATCAATGGTAACAAAATGGAAAAAAGATGAAAAAAAGGTTGTAGATGCTGCTGTCGTTGCCCACAAAAACTTGTAACGAAAATACGGCCAAGCACAAAGCATCAAAACATTTTCAATGAACTTCACAAGGAATTCACAAACGCCAGATGAAAGGGACTGAAGGTATCCTATGCCTGGCTTTACATACGTGCAAAGAAGATAATCCAGCAATGCAGTCCTTGAAATCTCAACAAATTCTCAAAAAGTGCGATCAATATCTTCATCAGAAAGTACAGGATTAAACTGAGGAGTGTCCAACGCAAGAAGCAAATGGACAAAATAAGCTATTTACCCAGTATTCTGAGCTGGCACACAACATTTCGTGAAGGTATTATAAAGACAGGACGTTCGAAACCTTCGTACGACACGAAATGGGGGCAATACCGACCAAGTCGGCGGTTTAACGTGCCTATGCCATTTGCAGTTGACCGAAAAACTACATATGAAGCCCATATTTCCAAAGAGGAGCAAAGAGCTCACCGAACCTGGGTCAGCAGCCCTGGACCAGGTCTGGAGAAACGGCAATGCACTTTGCAGGTGTGCTTTTCACCCAAAGAACCACCTGTCAGAATGGCCATAATTTTTCGTGGGAAAGGGAAAAGGATATCTACAGATGAAAAAAGAGCCAACCACAAAGATGTGGATGTCTATTGGGAGATAAATGCCTGGGCTGATACCGAATTCAGTGTAAAGTGGGTGGAGTAGACCCTCAAACCAGCCGTCAAAGACAACGAAAATAGCAAATTTTTGTTGTTTTGCGATCATCTTAGTGCTCAGACAGATGTATTATTTCTCAGTAAAGTGAAGGAATTAAATGGAATCGTTTGGTTTGGTGTGTCAGGTGCAACTGATATTTGGCAGCCTGTTGACTGTGGTTTTGGCAATATGCTAAAATCCATGGTAAGAACGGTGCAAGATGCATGGCTAGAGGAAGACGGTAACATAGATCTATGGTTGGGAAAATTGGACCCAGGGGCGGATCGAGACATTCTCCACATTCTCAATTGAGAATGTCAGATTTTCCCAGTTTGATTATTCTAATTAAAATGCTAAAATTAATGAATGAGCTCAGGCTTAAGATTCAAGATAAGTATACATCTTTTTATTATGTATTTAATGTATTCATTTCTACACCATCGCCGTATTTGCTATATTTTACTCCGTTTTGCCTTTGCGAAACATTTTTAAGTCTCCTCCGATGAAAAACCAAATTCTCCTTCATTGAACCTAGTACCCAGGAGAGTAGTAAGAGGCTGCGCCGCGTCCTGTATCTAGGCATGATTTTGAGAATGTTTATCGACTGTTGCCATGCATTTTGAGAAGTTCCTTCGCATTTTTAGAAAGTTGCACGCAGTTTCTGCATGCGCACGCAGAGAATTTCAATTCATTTTTGTCCCTTAGAAGAGGTCGACCTGAGAGATTTTAACGAGAGGAAAATTCGCCAGAATGACCCATTCACTTTTAATAGGGTATATCTGGCATATGTTTAACATACATTTTATGAGGTCTTGCCTACGTGAAAAGTTAGTGGGCTGGTCCACAAAGTAGCGAAATTTGACTGGGAACACCAACTTCACGTGATCAAGAAACCACACTCGACTCCAGACTACAGTGGCAGTGGCAGTGCTTGGTGCTTGTGCTTGTGCTTCTTGTGCTTGATTAGAGAATAATTTCACAAGAACCCATTGCAAGTATATAGATGTATTGGAAGAATTGAAACAGTTATTGACCGATTGTGCTTTTGATACCATCGAGGAGTATTTTTTTCGCTGACTAGGGAATGGTTACTTACAAGTCTGCCGGGAGGGCCTAGGCGCCAGAACCAGATCGTAACACACAACCTTCGACATTTACTGTGGCAAAAGAATTGTTTCATTTTGCTGACTGAACCTTGTTGAAAGAGAGAGGGTCAGACTTTAAGGTACTGCTGATAAATTTTATATAGGGGTTCATTTTGTGCTGCTGCTAATGGGCCTAGAGGCTCAGGTGGTAAATTCTGCAAAAAGTTTGTTTTGTTTGCAGACTGGCCCCTCTGGATGCTGCTGAAATACTTAATTTAACACCGATACCTGACCATTTTCTTTCTGATTTTGTGTAATGTGATTTAAAGGTACAATTCATAAAAATTACACTGTTCTGAATTTAACTAGAACTAGAATATTCATTCAATGATTCAATGGTTGCCTATCTTTGTAATATAATGTTTATGGATGCATCTTAGTTTGTTTTAATAGCTATTTAATTTGTTTTAGGTAACGTGTTATTTATTTGCAAGTTGAATTTCACTTTTGCTGTAATTTAATTTAAAGATCTAACTGTAAAAAAGTTAAGAGAGATTTTAACATACAAAGAAGTCATTACTTTCTTACAGTCTTGTTACTGATATTGTTACCAAGCAGAATAGGATTTGTTGTCACAGCCTTTGGTGAAAAGTTTTGTGCTATGGTGGGCTGTTGTGTTCTATTTTGAAACACATTTGACATGTTGCATCTTTGGAAATTTTATGTGGTTAATCATATGAGCTACATGGGCCTATTGTCATACACTGCACTTTTGTTTTGGAGATGCATCTCCTTTTTTGTTTTATTGATACTAAGCCAATAATGAACAAGGTTTATTGAGAGTGCAACACCAGAAGTCAAAATCTTGAGATATATTTATTTGAACAAGGTGGTACTAGGAACTGGAAATGCTGTCCAAATAAAGTTTACTAACTTAATGTTTTACATTAAGTTAGTACACACAGTAAAGGCAGATAGAATCTGTTTTTAATGCATGTTAAAATGAAGTAATTGGTATGATGTAATATAGTATGACAGGAGTTGGAGTAATGGAGTAGTCTTTCAACAAAAAAAGATGAGAAATGCATTCGTTTGCTTATTTTAGCGAGCATATTATCCAGACTAAGTTTTGATGGAATTATGGTTTGGATAAAAAGCTAATTTTGGTTAACATTCCTGTGGAAGGAAAGATTTTGAAGCCAAAAAATTATATTCATTTTCTTTGGCAAAAGAAAGTGCCTCTGACAGCTAAGCAAAGGGAAGTTTAGTGTAAAGTGTTTGGCCTCAGAAGATTCAAATTTAAATTTGATGGATCTACTAAATAGACAGTCATCCCAAAGTAATTTTTCTTCCATGTATTTCCAACATGAACAACAAATCTGAAACAGATATACAGACTTTGACTTCGATGCAGAAATATTTTACTCTAAAGCAGTGCAATTATCATATGCCAAAAAATATGATGCATTTAAGAGCATCCAGAAAGAAGTTGACTAGCCTTAGCAGTCTACTTTTGTTACTTGAAAAGGTTTTTACCCATTTCTTTGTCCAAGTTTCTATGGCTTGTATACTCTGAAAGTGCCTGCATTTTTAGTAATTTCATTGGTCAAATTTCGTTAATAATTCTCTTCTATGATGAGTCTTGTGCTCTCAAATTTTTATCAATAATTTGGATGTTAACAAAACTACACTTAGAATAAAAGACCTCTGTCTTCCCAAAATGTTGGGGGACAACTACCTCCCTTCATCCCCCTGGGTGTCTGCCACTTCTTATTGTTTGTTTTTATTTCTCCTCTTAAAATTTCAATAATTTTAATCATTGCATCCACCAAAGACAGAAAACAATTTCTTCGGCGTTTCCGGGAAATGGGCGTGGTCGGTCGGTCATAACGGTCGGTTTTGAGAATGTCAAATTTTTGTCTGGATCCGCCCCTGATTGGATCAGAAACTTGATGTGAAGCAAAGAAGGATTCTCATCACACACTGGGTGGGCGAAGCCTACAATCGCTTGTCCGGAGAGCAGTATGCAAGCTCCCGATGGCGTTGCTTCGAAAAGACAGGCTTTCTGATAACTGCAGATGGTTCGGAAGACGAGAAAATTCAACCAGAAGGGCTACATGGGTATACATTACCACCACCCCTACCGATAAATGCATCATAAGAGCCTATGCAATGTCAACTTCCGGAACCAAGACCAGCTCCTGAAGATGCTGAGCAATCAGAAGACAGTCTGCAAAGCGAGACCGAGGTTGAAGAGGAAAGAATTGATGAAGAGAATAAAGGGGTTTCTAGGATGAGCATGGGATGGTAAACAGAAAATTACTCGCTTTTTACGATAAATGGAACCATCACATGGCTCAATTCAAAGCTAAATGAATACCGTGTCCTGTTTGAAGACCAAAGCGAAGACTGTATAAGGTTAAATGAAATAAATGGAGTAGACATGATTTTGCTCAATAATTGACGTTTATTCTTGGGCCTAATTGCATAAAATTAAACAGTATTATTATCATTTTATAGGCTGTTCCTGTATTACAACAATTTAAATACACTATATCGGATGTCTTGATAAAAAGTACCCCTGTTTCCATAAGAATAATGAACAAGAGATACGATATCAAATCTCACTGTTGTGTTATAAACTTTAATACAATTAATATGCGAGGAAAGTGCAAAATTTGATGTTAAATGCTTATCTGGAGATAAGAAACTTTTAAGAAACTTTCAGTACTAGAAACTGATGAAAAATTAGAATCTTTTAGTACTAGGACCCAAGCTAGGTTTCTTATAAAAAAACGTGTACTCATACACTTTACATATTTAACAAATCAAAGAAAAGATTTTTTCTTGCTTCTGCATAGCTTTGGAACTTATGCTTGTCATTGAAAATTATATAGTTTAAAGCTAGCTATTTCTGGATATAAATTTCTGCATACCTTTATCGATGTTTTCAGTTTTACTTTCATGTACATGCTTAAGCTGAATTTTGACACTAAAGCCTTTCCATGTTTTAATTTTCAACTACAACATAAATACCTGATGACAGTGTGTATGTGAGCCAAAATATCTTCCACTCTACCTCCATGACAAAGAAATGTGTGTTGCTGAAGAAGAACAAGTTTTAAAATTGGAAGATGCCCTACCTATTTCTGGAAATTAATTTTCGCGTAGCTACATCGTTGTTTCAGTTTTACTTTCATGAACCTTTCAAAAGCCTAAGCTGAATTTTGACATTAAAGCCTCTCGATCTCTCGATGTTTTAATTTTCAACTACAACATAGATACCTGATGACAGTGTGTATGTGAGCCAAAATATCTTAAATTGAATATTCCACTGTACATCCATGTCAAAGAAATAAGTGTTGCTGAAAAGGAACAAGTTGTGGAATTGGAAGATGATAGATTAGTTTCATCACATTTCAATTTTTTTGGAGCAGGCTGGTTTACTTTTCAACATTGCAAGAAGAAAATAATCAAAAATCCTAAGAAGCATGGTAATGCATTAAGAGCTTTTGGGTCGCTCCGTGTATGGGGTTTTCAAAGTTAGATTATGCCAAAAGAATCTTTTTTGTGTAAATTCTTCAAGCCAAGTCATCGGATATAAACGAATCGATCGGGATCCTGGTTTGAATACTTTTTCCCTTCGTCTATAAACAGCGAATTTATTATATCTGATAATTTTAATGCCCAGCAGAGTTTATATGTTGATGCCCTGCTCAGCATTTCCTTTCATTTTTCTTTCCCATTTTTCTTTCCCATTTTTGTACATTATAGGTGCCTTTCATTATAGTCAATCTAAAATGACGAAGCAAGTGAATAACACATTAAGTAACTTTCTAGCTAGTAAGGGTATATCAGAGAACAATGCATTTTCAGCTATTTATTTAACCTTTTTCTCAAAGAGGGATACATGCATAATCTATCTAAATCAGCACGCCAAAGGACACCAGTAAACAATGTTACAATTTTATAACTTGCATCGATAAAAAGCTCTAGTGTAAAGCCAAATAAAACACATATTGCTTAAGGAGAAATCTTAAAACTATTGTATTGTATCTAGTATTTTTTGTCTTGTTAAGAATCCTTTGAGCCAGCTTATGGGCACGGGTGCTGAGAAGGGGGCAAGGTGGCAAAGGGACCGATTGCCAAGGGCGTCGTGGCGAATGAATATTAGGGGGTACTAGAACGAAAACTTTTCCGACAAAACTTTTCTATGATTTATCTTGATAAAATAGAAACGTTTCATGTAAGTGTAAGAGGGGGTGGGGCAGAAAAACTCATAACTTTTACCTTAGCTGGAAAAATATTTAAAATGCACTTGTAACTTTTGTCTCTGTTTCTTCATACTTACAGTGAATGTCCTTTACATCCGCAGATTAAGACAAGGGTAGAGCAGGGCCTATTTTAGTATGAAGTATTACACACTTTGTGTAGTATTAATCTAAAAACGTGCAGTATTGATTTCGAAAATGTGCAGTTTTTGAATTTTGGGATTTGTGAAATTGCCTAATTGCCGCTATCCCAGATTCCTGCTTTGTTCACAAAATGTGAATTTTCCCCGTCAGTTCCATATAGAGGTCATGTATTGTAAATCTCGTATGACCATCGGAAAGACTCTCTTATCAAAACTTAAAACAAAACGAAATGCCCAGAAATTTCCAAAAAATTGCAATAAAAAAATTTCCTATAAAAATGAAATTACAAATGTGCAGTATTAACAATTTCTTAAAATAGGCCCTGGGTTAGAAAAAAGTTACTACCTGAGGCGGAACCATGGTTGCCGCCGAAGGTGAAAATATTTTATAACCTAATGCTTCAAATTCGCCGGAAATTTCATTCTTTGAAGCAATTTTCAAAAATAAAATCTTATTCTTTTATTGAATATCCATCCACTGGGGGAACTGGGGGATTGACTTCTTCCTGGTTTTACTTTACGCAACATAACTGCATAAATTTTTTCAAATCTTGGACAAAATTTTCAAAAATCTGGTAAGAGGCACAAAATTCGCACTGTCCCGGTCATCAATATCAAATAAAGATATAATTTTTGACCAATACTTATCAATTTCCATAACCAAATTTGGCCCTTGAAAATTCGGATTTTAACCCACAAAAGCCGAGCAGCAGAGCTCTATGGTAGAATCGGTAAATCCTGAGAAATCATTTTGATTTGTAGAAACCTAGCATTTTCTTTACCAAAGTGAATTCCCCCTCGAAATTACGGTAAGTACTTTTAGTCCAAGCATTTATGTTGCTAAAAGTTTGAGAATTACCCACAGCTAAAGTTAGAGAATTTTCCGACAAACCAATGATTTTTCCCGAAAATCCGTCAAACTTTGAAAGCCACGGCCCCCTGCCCCCCGGCCACGAAGCCCCTGCCGATTGCCCAAGGACCTCGGGGTCTAAGTGGTCTCTTGAAGTGATTAATTCCATTTTGAGAACTGATTTTACAAACATTGAGAACCAATTCCATTTTACGAAAGTATGGCTGAATTTGGCTCAGAAGGGCCTCCGAATCCTCTCGGCCACCCTGCTGAGTGGTTTTGCTTTAAGGCGAGGATATCTCAATCCCCCCTTTATGTTGGGCTCTCCACACTGTAGTTGTTTTTATTAACAATTGGAAAATGTTTTCGTGGCTCAAATTTTTTTCTGTCTAGTAATTAAACTATATGCCTGCACTCCAAATGCTCCCTACAACGTCAATTGCTTCTGGTCGCTACGAGTAGGCCTATCTACCTGTTTGAAACCAGAAACCAAGGCAAGCAAGGAATACTTCTTAAATTTAAATACGGATCGATCTCTTTAATGCTTCAGCCATCATCTTGCATTTTCAGTCCATAAAACGGCAGTAATCATTGAAATTTCACAACAATCAACGATAGCTTCCATAATTTTCACACGAATTCGAAGAGGAAATGAAAACATCGACATACTTTCAAACGGTTCCATGTCAACAAGGAAGTTAAATCGTATTTAAGCAACAGCAACAGTTTTCACTGAATGGAGCACATGGCACCGAAAATGAAGAGGTCGATCTCAGACCAGCCTATTTTCATAAGCAAGTAACGGTGATTGAAATGCCATTTCTTGAAACGACTCGAGATGGAATTTTTGTCATAAGGCACACATTTTAGGTTGCTCAGTAGTCAATATTAGAATGCTGCGGTAATGAAAGACAAAGATCAGTATGGCGCTACCTTGGCAGTGACCTTTGTTAACTGTTTGTTCAAAGTGATCTTGTTGACCGCCAGATATAAAGTTAACAATCTTTTGGTGGTACAAAACTTGAAAATGGCTTTGAAAAAAGCAAACATTTGAATAAACTAAAGCTTTTCGTCTGACACTCTTCAGAGTTTAAAACTTCAGAACATAGATCGAAAACTCTACGCTAGGAAAAATATACCCAGTTGTGGATCGAAATAGGCCAATCAGAAACGCGAGCACATGACTGTAGAGGTTGCCCAATCAGTGCCGCTTGCCTATTGAGAATGTTACGAATGGAGTCCTAAGGTGAAAACGAACTCCTTTTGTCTACACAATAGCGGTTTTTTGTGCCTATGTAGATAGATTCCAAAACTGCTAGATGGAACGACAATCGGGCTTTACCAATTATCCGAAACATGTCGTCATTAGAGTTTCAGATCTAAAAGTATGAAACTAAACATGCGATTCTGCTATCGGGCAGCATTTACTTGAAAACCCACGTGCATAATTTATGCGCATATATTTGTTGGCCTACGCAAGAAACCGCTGGAAACTTTCTTTAAAAAAAGTCTTGCATACGACCAAAAGAAAACCTTTACCGCACCCCGAAAAGAGGAAAAGGCGTTAGTGTGATAAATTAATAGCAAGGAAATTAATTTTTCAACAAATCGACGATTAATATTTGGAATGTGCTTGAAAGTAAGAGTGAACGAGCAATGAATAAGACTGCTCTTACAGAGGTTGAGAATAGAAGCGACTAAGAACAAGTTTGGAGTAAATGTTTTTTCGTGTGGCTCACTCACATTAGAACTTAATAAATCCTGAACCCTCTCATCTGTATATGGGGAATGGTTCTAGAATAATTTTAAGCTGGAAATTCCATTTCAAGCATTGACTCATTGGTATCGACATTTGAAGACGCCATGACAGTGTCAAAACAACAGGCCGGTGACTAAAGAAGTTATTCTTGTCAATATAAAGCAGCCAATGGCCCTCAACTGATCCCTGAGAAGCACCTTATCGAGCGTCACAGAGGAATTGCTGTTTAAAGGCAAACCGCATAAGTTTCTAAAGGTGAAAAAAGGATAAAAAAATTATAAAACTACCTCTAACACCATTTTTTCAAAAAGATTGGAAGGTTTTAGTGAAGAAATTTGATAGAAATGTAATCATTACACTGTATTGTAAATGGTTTGAGCATTAATATCTCAAAAACTAACATTTGCAGTTTAAGCAACTGCATTTCTTGCCATTTATATCAGCAGTTTATTTTGGATACAGGGTCTGCAACGAGCATATGGCAAGTGGTACTGTTGGTTAGACCAATTTTTGCAAAAATGGTTTCATTTACTAGTAGGCTGTGTTATCAACAAAAGTGGGTTTTCAAGACGAAGTTCCTACTTTCAAAGGCTTTGTTAAGAAAGAAATATTGACAAAATAGTTAGAAAATGGAATGAAACAGCTTTAACGTAGCTTTTTGTGCAAACATTGTAGTTGACCAAGATAAGTGCTATTTTATCTTTGTTAAAGATCAGCAAAAAATGTCATTCAAGAAACTTCGTCTCCTTTTGTCTTTTCCAATAAGTCTATAATTATCAGAAAGATTATGAAAAACAGAACAGAAATTTTCTACTTTTGAAAGGTCGCGAAGATTATGTACTTCTTATAATAAAAATAAGTGCTGTTTGAACTCATAAAACGCTTCAAAGATGCTTTGTATTTTCATAATTCCGCGCAGCATCGTGAATCTCTTCGTATGGTGATTGCAATCCTGCGTAAGTTGAATCTGTGGTTGCAATTTGTCCCTGAAGATCCATGTAATGTGTCTCCTTTGGCTGTGCATCCCTATGGACTCAACAAAATGTAATTACACTCGTTTATCTCTGTCAAAAACATAGAGATGAACGTTCGAATTGCGAGAGAAAGCTCTTTTTAAATTGGATGTTTAATTTGGAACTGAGCAAAAATAGCTGCAAAAGACGAAATTTACATTAAAATCCTATTGATATCAACTAGAACTTCTAACATAAAAATGTTAGAACGACTGTTACTAAAGGCAAAATTTAACCATTGATTTTTACTGTAACTAACCATATTAATGCATAAACTTAAGTTACCTTTTACTTCCATTGTCTTGAGCTGGAAAAAACAGATGAGGCTTTTAAATGTTTATTAGTCAGGTACAAAGAAAAATGACGACGAGAATCCAATAAGTACTATTTTTCGTATTGTTACTCATTGCAAGATTCACAAAATCCGGCGGACAGCCTTTCCTGCATTTGTTCCTTCTTAAACATTTTAAATTTTTGATGTACTATTCACAACAATGTATAATTAGTCTGAAAGGGCAATATAAATACTGTCATAAAGGATACCTTGTGTCGATTTTGCCGTTCTTCTAACGAGACAGATCGTCATTGTTGCCAAGGCAATAAGTAAGACTGCAACTACTACTGAAAGCGCTATGATTATGTTTTTATCTTCATCGTTGTTCACTGCAGTGACAAAGCAAAACATGTACTTCATATGTAGGCTCTATTGGCATTAACATAATTCTTGAGTTACGTATAAACCTTTACGTCGATAAAACAGTTGCATCAAAGTAAAGACAAACACTGTCAAAAGCGATGAGGACATATGTTCAAACCAGGGACGGATCTAAGCGGTTCCATTGTTGAATGAACAGCCCTCAAATTGTGTTCTGGATCCCTTTTTGATAGGAATAACCTTCATAATGGCACTGAAACTAGGCAGGGGGGGGGAGAGAATTCGCAGCTATTGGCAGGGCATGGGAGTCTATCGTCACCTGTGATAATCGCCCACTAGTTAGTACGTTACTAAATTGGCTGATAATAAAAGACTAAAATGAAATTAAAGACAAATGTTCAATGTTACTTTCATTTTCGAGGATTCAATTTCCTATTTCCAACCAGCTGACCAATAATAAAGATTCTACAGGATGCAGAGCTTAGAGTGAACTCAAGATATAATAGGATATTTTAGTAGCATCGTAAGAAATTTATCAGAAAATAATTGTTCATGAAATTATTACAGTGCTTATTAGCTATTTGTTATTAAAGCTCAACTTAAACCATCGTCCATGCCAGGTTCTGTAGAATTAAGAGTTTCATGGGAAACACTTTAGAGTTTCTTTCAAAGGATAGAAAGCCACGTTTGTGTACCAAACCCTTTTGCCACGCAATATTTCACCGTTTATAGAAATCAAATCATTGTGAAAGTAACCCATTAGAGCGGGCGAGTACTTGCCTTGTTTTTCTTTACATGCTGTTGGCTGAACACTTGTTTTTTCCTTTGATGTTGATTTATGCGTCGTGCTTGTTCTTGTTGTTGGTTCATCTGAGCTTGGTACTAGTGTTGTTGGAAACAATGTTTTTATGAAACTTAAGGTGTTCACAAATAGGTTTTCTAAGCACTATGTTTTTAAACAGCTGTAAATCGTCCAAAACAATAATAGCAACCAGATCAGGTCCCAGAAAGGAAAATAAAAACGCGATTATGAACAAGATATATACCAACCCGGTGTTTTTGAAGTTTTTGATGTAGTGGTCGGCGGTAGTGTTGTTGAGATGGATGTTTCTGAGACTTTGGCAGTGAAAACCTTTGAAGTACTTTTGAAACTCATCGCCATTTCAACGTCAGTGATATTCATATTTCCTGGAATCTTGCATTTCTTTATTTCATCGATGTTATATCCAGTTTCAGTATGAACAACAGTCCCTGAAGCATTTTTCAATTTAACTTCGTATTTCACGTAACAAGCTCCAGATTCGGCCTTCGTCCATTTCACTTCGACACAACTGTCTAAGATTATCTTTCTTGCTTGCAAATTCGGATTGCTTTCAAGTTTCACTAGAAATATAAAGTTGTTAAGCTCACTTCATTTGATTTCCAATATGTTTTAAACACGCTTCTATTAATAATGAGCAAATTTGAATCTAGATTTTTGCTGAAATAAAATTGCTTGGAAAGAAACATCTTCATGTAGGTTTCTAATCTTATTTGCTTAAATAAAAGTATAAATTAGAACCAACAACATAAAGCACTTACACAAAACAGTGACATTGGTGTCTTTGGCAAGTGATGACCCAATACTGTTCTTCACTGAAGACTTCAATATCCTTCCACAAAAAGTAGCAGCTGTATTTGGATGTGTAAACTTTGCTGCATAAACATATGGGTAGATTTGGATACTGGCAACAGTTGTCCCACCATCACCACGATGAGGCCAAAGAAAATCAGCTGATGGTGCAGGGTTTCCATCCATTTCAATCGCCATTTCTAAATTTGAATTTTCATTCACTTCAATTGTAGCTGGAGTTGATGTAAGGAATTCTGGTACTCCTGTTTTAGGAAGCAAAGAAATCTTGTGTTCACTTGAAATTTGTTATCGCACTAATGAAGGTTGTGTAAATTGAAATTTTAGACTGAACTACTTGTAGGTGAAGGTTGATTACAATTCTCTCCATAAGACATTACAAGCAGCATTGCCTAAATTCTGATTAATTGGTTTTGTCGGGTTACGTTAGGTTAAATGTCTTCTTGACACTAACAGACGGGATTGTAGCTGCGAGCCATTCTAAACCAGCTTTGGACTATGATTCTTTGGTGCATCGATTCTAATTCCATTTGAGTTTGACTTGCTTCTAACAAAAATTAAGTGATGATATCAGTTTTCTACGCCATCACTTAGTCAACTGCTTAACATCTACCATTTCATCACTTATCAATAATCTAAGACTAAAATGATTTTCTTATCAATTAAAAGTATTCGTCATCAGGAAAAGTACTATTGTAGTTGTCTGTAACTGAATTGGTTAGTAAAATGAGAAGCAATAAGTACAATATGCATTTCTTAATTGCTCCATTCCAAAAGAACCATGTCCATACAAAAATACAGAGTTTGAAAAGCGAGGCTGAAATTTATAATCTTACCATTGACTGTAATTCGGACAACTGGTTTGAGGTCACTTCTAACTTGGGAGCTTGAACTACCTGTGACAATTTCTGTAATAATATATGATGCAAATTGGTAAGCAGTGTCATTGTACTTCAATCCACTGATCACCAATGTATCGTTGGATGGTA